ATGGTCAATAAAACACTCGAAACACCAATCAGGCATCCTTTTTGTCGGGTCGTCTGAGAAAACATTGTACGGCCGAACGACAGCCACATGTCACATGCCTTCAAGAAAGCAGCCATCTGTCGATACAAGAATAGACTTCCACGTTCAATACCCTACAGTAGAGCTGACCCAACACAGGCATAAAAGTTGAGAAAAACTATTTAGTGATGTCAACCTTGGGAGTCTCTTGAACTTGTGTCAGTTTTGTCCATCTAGCCTTACGGTAGTTGGGGCTGGGTTGTTGCTATTGGGTCTGTAGCGCATGCTTTATGAAGATCTGGTATAAACAACACGAGCTCTTTAGCAACACATCAGCGCATCTCTTCCCCGCTGTCCAGGCCGACACTGCAGATTGATTGCGCTTCACTCCGAACGTGTCATCATCACGGCGAGATTCCGTCCGACCATATCCCAAGGCCTCTGCCCGATCGTCAAGACGCGCTAGCAAAAGCGGCACTCTTCAATAGCTGTTGCAACGCAGGGCACTAAACGCGTCGGTCTCGCGTGCTGACACGATCGCAAGCCCCGACAAGAACGCTGCCGTGGCGACGAGAGACTCTTACCGCGATGCGCCCGGCGTCCTTGGTAGCTTGTCTCTGCGAGTCGTTGAAGTAAGCCGGCACCGTCACCACGGCCTTGCCAACTGGTCGCCCGAGGAAGCTTTCCGAGGTCTCCTTCATCTTAGTCAGCACCATAGACCCAACCTTGAGAGAGAAACCGGACGCAAGAATGCAGCTAAATTCGTCAGAACGACCACGAGCAAGGGCGGGCCGCCGCCACCGCAGGGAGGGTGGCGGTTACATGCATGATGCGATCACATTCCAGCCAGCGAAGGGTGCAAACGAGTCGTGCAACAGAAGGCACCCAGTTGCCGCACATGGCCTCACATATTCTACATACACACGATCTACCCATTCCCCCGCCGGTCCTCGAGACGATACTTTTCTGGTTACTGCAGACTCGTGGGGTTACTCCTCAATAGCTCCAACACAATACACGTCCATGCTCCAGACCCCTGCGGTAGAAACACGAAGCTCACCGCCATCACCCATACTAGCTGTACTTGAGCTCCAGCACCAACCACACCGTAAAAAAACTCACCTGGGAAGGGCTCATCTTGTTCCCTTGCACCTCAACCCACGCAGCTCCGTCCTGGCTCTCCACGATCTTGTACGGCACCAGCTTCTGCACGCCCTGCACCTCCTTGTCCTGCGGTGTAGAGCCCAATGAACGCACGCTGACGGTAACTTATCTACGGACCATTGAAAACGAATGAGCCGCTTTCTTGACCCTATGAGTGGAGAAATATGTACACACGGTGAAAATCAGAGCGTGGTTTCAAGGGTGCATCGTCCTCGCTGTGGCTAGAGGTGCAGGCAGCGATAAAACTGGAAGAAAAACGTTGTGATACGCGAGCCGCACGTTGGCAAGGTGTTTGTTTAGCCTCGGATCATGTGCCCTGACAAACTTTGGAAAAAAAAAAATGCAAGTCGGGCTCGGCTTGAAGGAAGTCCGACGAAGCACGTGTTGCCAACAAGCAAGAACGAGCTGAATTCTGAAGCCTGTTCGCTCAAAGTGCAACCTACAATCGCGTTGGCGTGTTCATTCATTTTCACTCAGTTCTGCCCTCCACAATCAAGCACAGGAACTCCACCGTGACAAAAGCTGTCAGTTAAGTAACAACGCCGGCGGCACAGGCCAAGGTTAACAAGCTGGATAACTCATGACGAAGGCCGTGACAATTGTCCACAAGGTTCCTTTGGCGTTAAATAGATACGTTCACCTCAAGATGAGCCTTGCAGAGAGGCTCATGCGGGAATGGGCGGTCAAAAGGTGCTGCTGCCATTTACCCCTCGAGTTCACGTCATCTCCGCCTTTGGACTCTCCCCCTTCCTCGTAGTGTACTATGATCGCTTCAACACAACGCGGCATGTCATGTTTGAAGTCAAAGCCATGTGTTTACGTGTGTATCGCTTGTCTCTGGTGCACCCACCTTGAACCGACGGCCGATCAGACGCTTGGTCGCGTACAAGGTGGACTCCGGGTTGGTCACAGACTGCCGCTTCGCCACGAGCCCGACCAATCGCGTCCCGTCCGGCTGCAGACATGAGGCGGTAGAGAACGGGGAAGGGTTGAACGCCACTATTCAGGCTTCTTGAGGGTACAGTCTGCACCAGGCACGGCACGATAGGCTGGGGGACAGTGGGCCTCATGGGTGGAAGTATTGGATGCAAACGTTTCAACATGTACGACAGTTCGACAGCTGTATATGGTTGCATCGTGCCGGTACTCCCTGTTTTGTTTCACGTGTTGCATTGAGGGTCGACATCCAACACAGCAGTAGATATCATACGCTACTGCAAACAAGAGGTAGTTGTGCACGCATGTTGTTACCACAGAATCAACTATTCGCTTGGTCGCTGGTGTCGATGCGGGGCAGGGGTCACCGCTGCTGCTGCATGGTACAACGATACGGTCCTCAGGATAACGCCGAGTTCTGTTGTGTGGTCCATCGCTGGCGACACACACAAGTACAACGACGACATCGATACCAAATCCAACACCAAAGCCTAAACCAACGTTACCTTCGTTATCGAATACACACAAACGAACGTACAGCCAGCCCTCACGACGTTATGTTGACGCTCACACGAAAACCCGTCCACACATTACTGAATACAACCGGGAAACGTGCCGATTTTGCAAAAAAAAAAAAGGACCACCTGCAAGTGAATGCAGAACAGGTTGGATTTAGAAGACACCTTGTCGCCGAGGATGGGCTGAAGCGTTTCAACCGGAGACAAGCCTTCAACTATGTACTTGGCGCGCTCAGTAGGCTTCGATGGTACCAGACCTCAAGGAATCCCAACTCCTCGACGAGCGTGAGGTTGGCCGCCGTTGTCGACGAAACCTACCGAATCTACGGGCGGGAAATCCGCAGGACAATTTTGTCGGTGTGACCAACCAACCACACGCCACAAGCGTCAATATACATAGGGTACCTGGTGCTCACGGTGTCGGCACTACTACTACTGTACCTCAAGAGTGCACAGCTACAACCTGACTCTGTGCTACGACTACTTCCCGCACAAAGCAATCGCGCATCACATACACACAGACCTACCTGAAAGGCCACGACAGAGGGGGTAGTCCGCGCCCCCTCGGTGTTCTCGATTACTCGCGCGCTCCTGCCCTCCATGATAGCCACGCAAGAGTTGGTCGTGCCAAGGTCGATGCCGATGATGTCGCCGGCGGGTCCCTTGGAGGACAGGGCCCGCCGCGAGGCGGCCGCGCATAGGGGCAGTGGGGAGGGGGCGGAGGACGGGCCGCCTCGGATGTGCGCCAGTTGCCTCTGTGTTTATATGGCGGGAGGTAAGACAGAGGGATTGTCCATGGCGGGAGATAAGACGAGGCATGCAGGCGCGGCGTGTTTTTAGCAGCGGTTTTTGGAAAATCACATCGCGTTATACCAGAGGTCCGACTACTGCTGCTATGTTGGTCTTAGCAGCTGGATGAATGGTGCTGCAAGTATTCTGTGGTTAATCCGCGGTTGCAATCACCGAGCAGACCTTCCGGAAAGGACACGGCAAGCGAAAAAACTGAGGTCTCGACAAGGTGGAGATGCTGAACTTGCACCCACACGTCACACACGCGTCGGCGTCGTGTAGAGCAACGAGGTTGACTATATGGGGTCAAGCAGTAGGGATTGACAGGCGGAAGAAAAGACACACACAGCGAGAGAGAGAGAGAGAGAGAGGCGCTGAACAGGACAAAAAAGTCGGCGGTGCTTCGTCTTCTGCGACTCTTGTCTTGCGTGGATGGATCGATCCAGGAGTGGCAGCACTGACGAAGCAGCGAGGCAGCATGCGGTCGAGGAGAGCCCTCCGCGGAAGCACAACATCACAACTTGTTTGCGACCGACGTGCATCCCTCCAAGGCCGCGAAATCAGGGTGCACAACTGCGGCAAAAGCATACTGCCTCCAGGGTGTGCAGACAGACAGGGTGTTCTACCAGAGTGCACTGCTGTTTGGAAGAGTCTGTTAGAGTCTCACCTTGGCAACAGATCGGCCCAGCCTGGCTCCAAGCATTGTGATTTATTAGCCACAAACAGCTGAGAGCGATGCCACGAGGTGGTTTCCGTGTGTCGGGGAGCAGAAGGTGTAAGGCAGCAGCTAGGGCGGCCACTCGTTGCCACAAGCAGTCTGGTTTTATTTGCACGTGGTGAGTGGACCGGCTGTACCAGACACGCGTGTGTGGACGAACTGATACCCTTGCCGTTGCGTTGCTGCTTTAGCGGGACACACGGGGACTTTCGTTTTCTAGAACATGAGTGGGTACGACGTATGATTTCGCGGGGCTCCACGGCTGGAAGCGGCGCAACAAAACCCACACAACGCCTCAAGCAGCTACACCTTGCCATGGTGGGTGACTGACTTTCAGGAAAATACGCGGTCTTGCTGATGTCCAGAGGTGCAATCACCTCGAGATAAGAGACGAGACGTGAGAGTCAAGCGCGGGGTCAGCCACAAGAAGGGAGAGATAGAGGTGCCCACCCATACCAAAGCGTTCCTCAGGGAGCAGGAACACTACAACCCAGAAGGGCAGAGAGAGCGCCCAAAAGCCCGAAGCCACCTTACCCCTTGGATATATATCCACTGGTTCTTGCAAAGAGCAGTCCTTCGTGGACTCCTAGGAAGCAGCCGTAGAGAAGGTGAGTTGGGAATACGAAACTGTCCAAAATCCACGGCAGCAGCTTGCTGGAGTGTGACGACGGGCCAGCATGGACAGCTTCACCTCTCCGTCCGCTCCCGACGGAACAAGCGGCAGCCAATACAGCAGCACCCGGTCAACCTTACCAGCTGCCTCGTCGGGAGCTGCGGAAGGGCAGCAACCTGAAGGAGAAGCACCGGGAGCGTCGGGGCAAGCGGCAACACCGCGGCAACAACCTCAGGGCAGCAGCATGTACGACCTCTTCCTTACCGCCGTCGGCCTGACCCCTCGAGGACTGGGAGCAGAAACTTTCTCTCCTGGCGGATCGGGGGTGGAGGCCGAGGAGGAAGAGTTCTGGTCAGCTACGAACGAAGAAGAGAAGGTCGGCGGCGTCCCAAGCGGCAGCGGCGGCGTTGTTGCTGAAAGTAGCCGCGGTGGTATGATCCCCCGCCGGCAGGAACAGCAGCAGCCGGCTGCGGCGGCGGGTGCTGGTGCAGGGGCAGAGAGCGGAAACAACAACAACAACAACAACAACGTCCCAATAGGAGGTGCAAACTCTTACAGTGCTTCGGCAGTAGCAGGGGTACGCGGTAGAGACACGATGTTCACATACAGTGCTTCAGCAGGTGCGGGGTTAGGCGGTAGAGACACGATATTTAATAGTCTTGCAGGTAGCAACCGCTCGGCGCCGGCAGCCGGCGCTCAGCGACCCTCAGCAGGGGCTGAAATAGCGCGCACGCATCCGGGCGAAGCATCTGACGGTCAGGACGCCTCTGTTGACACGGTCGCTGACGCAATGTGCACGGCAACGGGAGCCGAGGGGACTGCCAGAAGAAGAAGGAGGCTATTGGGCAGTAACGCGGCAGTAGGGCCGGAATCAGGTGCGCGACATGCCGCTCAGTTTATCAGGAACAGGCGCACTCGTCCTTGTGTTCCTAGACACGATTTTCGGTATAAGTAAGAGGATCTACGCTCCTCGGGGTGTCGTGGACATTAAAGGTTCGTCAAGTAGGAGCGTCGATTTGATCACGGAGAATTCGGACATGATATGCATGCACGCCGAATTACGCTCGTGTCGTGTATACGCCAGAGCAACAAACACGTCTACGCCTTACCTGCCCGGCCGGACCCTCCGAATCCTTTCCCCGATTCCTCCTCCCCCCGAACTTTCGCTAACGTGTGGACAGCAGACTCGAGAGCCTCTCGCTCCCGAACTTTTTCGGCCACCACACCTCGACTCTTCAGGCGGGGCAACCCTCTGTTCCGCTCGGGCGATATAGGCTCCTTCTGGCGCTCGAACGTCTTCGCCGGAAACGCCACCTTTGACGACGAGAATGACGTAGAAGAGGACGCGGCCGGCACGGCCACTCGTGCCGTGGAAAGGGCGATCAACGGGACCTCGGCAGTGACGGCAGCAGCGACGGGTGGCCACGCTGCTGCCGCAGTGGCAGGCATGGAAGGCAATGGCAGGGTCGCCGGCGGCAACAGTCTGGACAGTACCGAGAGGGGGGAAGGCGGTGACGGCGGAGGACAGGGACGAATATTGTTTTACCACAAGCCTACCCTGGCCAACGTGCCAGCTGGCGACATCCCAGATGTTGTTCCGGTGTATCTGGGATGCCCCAGGGGAAACATGGCCCTGGGCTTACCATTGGATGAGGCGTGGCCAGGAGAAGAACACCAGGTGCGTTCGATTTTGCACAGGAGCGGCGGGAAAGGAGGATTGCGCTTGAATGTTGTTGCTCTCCTGCCTTTGTGACTTATCCTTGCTGAGAGATCGGCTGACACACGCCGCTTTATTCGCACCCGACGGTTGTTGAAACAATGTTGACTCCGGGCTGTCCTGGTCGTATGGATGGGCTTCGGTTTGTCATGAATGGATGCCATGTAATAGTGCCGTCCATTATTGGGCTGCGACCGCTCCTATGCAGGCTAGGTTGGTTGCTGGACAAGGTATGCGATGTCTTGATTACCTTGCAAACGGTTTGATCGCAGGCATCGCCGAAACTCTTCAGACACCGTTGCTCCTGTCGCAGCAGTTCGCTCTGTTATCTCACGATTTCGCAGTTGAGGCACTCGGTCGTACCGGCAATCAGGTGTGCAGCAGCTACCTCAGCATACTCATCTTTGTTTTATTTTGTCTCAACTCCCGAAGGGTAACATCAGGTTCCCTCCCTGCGGCTATTCATGACTTAACTGCCCCTGTTCGACAACTCGCAGGACACCACCTTCAACCAGAACCTGTCTTACACCATCCTCAGCTGGCCGGAAGATCACGTGCAGGACTTGCTCGAGCTGTGGCGCCTTCAGGTGCTCTTTTTCACGACGATCATCTTCAACATCTTGGTGTCGGCGCTACTTTTTTTCACGGAGAACCCTGACAGGTGAGAGGGAAAGACGCGGGTGGCCCTATCAACGCCACCCATGGAATCTAGTTGTGGTGGAGGTGTACGTATGTGCACCGAACGATGCAAGAGGTTCATGGATGTGCCAATATATTTCCCGTAAGTACTTTCTTAATCTGCGGTATCTTTTTCACACACGCACATTTCAACTATCGAGCTGGAAGGACGGGCGGCGCTTTTGGTTTTCAGCACCGCTTATTGTCACAATGCTTTGGAGGTGGGGGAGACCCGCACGGCACACGTTGAGGCTGGGGGCAGGGGTTGCATGGTTGACTTCGCACCCTTTATATGTCGCAGTTAGAACTTAGAACTGTTGCCGTTTGTGGGAGGACCACCTGGACGACACGTGCTGATTGCGTACGGTTTGCTGACCGTGGATGGTTTGTGCCGTTGCTCTCCCTTGCGACAGAACGCGCGTTGAAGGTTTCGCGAGACCGGGTGCGTTCCCAAGGCCGTTCGAAAAGCGCTCCCCCATCGATGACCCGACAGGCTTGAGATCAGAGGCAAGTAGGCAATGCGTTCACGTAAAAGAGTCTGCCGAGCGAAAGGCGGCACTTGTTTGTAGCTCGCTTTTTCTCAATATGTTTTGCACTTGACCATGCACCCTCTTCGAGGCAGAGTTCCAGTGCTTCTCGTGGGACAAGGCGGACCGTCCTCAATGAGCTGGCGTATTTTTCTCTCCCGTACTCGGGTTTGTGTGGTTGCGCTTTCGTGGTTGCCCCCCACAGCCGTTCCTGTTTTCGTTGATCCTCCTGCTCCCACGCGTGTTCCAAGAGCTCGAACTTGTTGGCAATCCGCCCCCCCCGCGCGCACGCACTTCCCACATGCGCGTGCATCGGTAACTATTTTCGTTTTCGCTTCAGGCGTGGCACCTCGCGGCTGCGTTGCTCCTCAGCCTTCTTGGCATCGTGTGCGTGTTGGCGCGATTGCGGGCGGGCATTGCGCTCTACCTCGTGCTGACCGTCGTGAACGCCGTCGTCGGCCTGAGCCACTCCCCAGACCCTCTGTTCGCGTGCCGCTACGCCATAGACTTTTTGCTAGTGGCGATGGGCCGATCGTATTTGTCCTCGCTTTCGTATACATGGGTCACCGCCTCCGCAGGAGCTGGGCGGTGGGGTTGGTAGGTGTAAATAAGTACGAGGGCATTTTGTGGTGGTGACTGCGGAATGGTCCGACGCACAACTCAAGTCTCTGAAAAACACGGGGCTGCAATTGCTGTGCTGCCTTCTCCCGACAGATTTGACGGTGTTGGACGCGTATCAGGAACTGATTTGTTCTGTCATAATTAGAATTGGTACTAGGGTTGCTCTCGAGAGATTGCTGCGCCGGTTAGTTGAGATGGAGTGTTAGGGTAAAACTTACACATGTCTAATAAAAAAAGTTCCTGTTATGTAGCACTGGATGTCGGAGACACTCGTACGTAGTGCATCGATTGGCGATTGCTATTTTCTGTTGGAAGAGGCCACTCTTATTGGCACGAATACTTTGTGTGGATGAATGGTTTCAAGACTGCGGCGAGTCCGGGACTCTGTTGTCCGTTTCCTGTGTAAGTGATTTCATGTGTACGTTTGGTGTAGACAAGGCGACACCATCTCCTATTTTTGGTGATTAAAACTGCAGAAGGCAGAGCTTTTCCCGAGGGGGGCAAGGTCAACACAGTCATTATCAGGCCCGAAACTCGTGTATTCCCCGATTGCGTCTCGCAGCAGTATCCAGAACCGACTAAGTTTTTGTGATGTGACACAAACGCATTTTTAAACACTTACTCGGAGTATCATTTTTGTGTTTACCAACCTTCAACAAAAAGTCAAATCAACAAAAAGTCAAATGGAGTAAAAACATAAAACTCGCATCAAGCACATTCCAATCCAAATAGGATTGGTTTCTGCTCCAAACGAACCTATAAAGATTCTTTTCTCGCGATTTATTGAGGATTTATTGGCCGCAGTCAATTTCTCTCAACTCGCGAAAGCTACGCGCACGAAATCGCGGCGGTGCCTTCGCGCGACCTACGCCTCGACGGTCCTGTCCAAGGGATTTCAATCGAAGCGACACCGGCTCCAAACGCAAGGATCGTTTCTTGCTTTTCCCCACACCAGCGATTCGACACTGGATTTTAGCAGTTGGTGCTGTTGCTGTTACAGTAGCATCCTCAGGCAGATTCAGGAAAGGCGACCCCCCTGTGACACGATGACCAAAGCGTGATTCGGTCGCCTCGGGCAAGGCAAGGAGCCTTGGCAAATACCAGAATCACACGTCTGATTTCGGCGAAGAGAAGCAGGGAACGAAAACAGTGCAGGGTCAAGTTCGTTGCTCAAGAGCTCAGGAGATGCCCCCAGAAGTAGCGAGCGGCTTAAACTCAGATGTCAGCAAAGATCATGTGAGAATGCTAGGCGTGTGCCATGTCTGGCGTGGCGGCCTTCAACAATTTTTCAACGACGACATATCTCCCACACCTTCCACAAAACCAAGAAACATCACATGAGGCTCCCTGCTACTTGACGCAGCCCGAGCGATGCGACACCCCGCACCCACAACAGTGCGACACTCCCAACTGTCCTCGGGCCCGGCACCTGGAGCATTCATTGTACTATGGTTTAAAAGTGCCTGGCACTAGAAAATAGGTCACGGGTCGAATTCCGACTCCAAGAGCAAGTCTAAAACGCCATTTGACTCACCGGTGTTGAAACCCTCCCCTTCAGCCCCATCGGCCTCTTCCTGTCGGGCCCGTCGCTCGGCGAAGCAGACGAGGCACGTCACCACGAAAGTGAACCAGATGGCGGAAAAGAACTGCGCGAAAAACGTCAATGTACCATTCGCCCGAGCGCGAGAAAAGGCGTTGTCAATAGACGCTCCTCACCAACGCTGGGAACGAAGGTGCGGTATTGACAACGCTGAGACACGTGGGAAATGCTGATTAGACGTAGGAGGCGGGAATCGGCCGTCTCAAAACAACGCCTGACCACCAAGAAAAGGAAGATGAACTGAGTGACTGCCCTAAGTTGAGGGAGGCCGATGACGACTGTTGTGCCCTCCTGCCACTGCAACCAAATCTCTCTGCAAAAAGATGTTTGCCTTTGGAGGTCCTTGCTAACTGAGGGGTAGGCGGAGATCCTTTCGGGTCGAACTTCTCGAGATCTTACAGGAGCGTGCTGCAGAGAAGGGACCACCGGTGAGCGATGAAAACTACAATTTGAAGAGGCAGTCCTTCCCCAACCCACCAAGTCTTCTGGTTTCATCGGCACGCTGGTTGATGTGTGCATTTGGGACGGGATCCGATTGAAAACGAGCGTTCAGGCGAAAAAAAAAGTTCAATCCCGACAGCGACGAGGAAGCCGCCGAACCCTTCTCGGACGCAAAGACACCGCTTTCGTGTACCACCACCCTTCCGAAGCACCACTTCTCGACCTCCAAAAAGGAAGTCTGGAGGTGTTTATGTACCTGCGGCAGGAAGACGATGAAAGCCGAGTAGTCCGCGCCAGCGACCAGGTAGACGGCCAGCACGCTCGTCACCAGGGTGCCCCCTAACAACTTGCGGGAGTGCTTGGCGTTGTCCATCAGGACGGATGCCTCCAGCAGCTTCCTACGTTGCTCCTGCACAAAAAAAAACGTGGTGAATCCCCCTCCTGAGGTTGGAAGCTTACGTTTTTACGATCCTCCTGCTTGCTCAAACACGTAAATTTGCACGCCCCATCACCGTGGGCGGGGCGAGTGGGTCCTCCTGTGATGCTAAATATGATATTCTCCCAAGACACACGAACACAACTGCATGATACCCACATGAGTTTACCGTTCTCGACGGATGTGTCACGTGAATTCGGAAAAAGATGAGCTACCAGGTCGTTTCCGCGGGAGACAACAGGCAGCGCCGTGAAAGTTCTCGTAAGCGGTGTTGCCACCGAAACGCCTTCCAATTCGAATTGCAGGTATGATGGAAAGCAAGACCCCCGAAGACCGCCGAATTAACAGCGTCTTGCTGGAGAGACAAGCACGCATCTCAGGGTACACCACCCATGAACCCGGGGAGGCTTCATATGGATGGGAAAACGACTTTACCAGAAAACCGATGCGAACCAAACGACGAATACAGGCATGAATGACGTTATTCGGAGACCGACTTGTCAACCCCAACGGAGCTGGGCATCACACCTCCGTTGAGCCGTCGTTGTCTTCGAGGCCCCGCGCGAGGGACATCGCCAGGGCCTGGTTTGTACACCAGGTGAACAACTGCCCGGCGTGGAGGAGCCATGTAGGGACGAACACCACCCACCAGTTCCAGTTCACCTTCAAGAGTACGCAGCGGAATGCGCAGGGAACGACAGAGGCGTTACACGACGCGGTTGGAAACATCAGGATACGCGAAACATCGAGACCTACTCAGGACTGGAAAGGCAGCCTAGGCAGCCTAAAAGCGTGCGCTTCGCAACAAGAGCGCACAAAAAAGCTGTCGTCGTAGACCATAGGTCGGGCAGGTTGGATGGACATAAATATGTCCCAGAACGCTGGTGGAAAACAAACGTGCACACTTGACATGGACACGAGAGATGAAATAGCATAATCCTATTATAGTGTCACTTGCAAGAGCACAACCAACACGAGACAAGTATGCTTTGCAAAACATCAGCCTCAACATTCGTCAGTCAGCCTCAACATTCGTCAGTCAGCCTCAACATTCGTCAGTCAGCCTCAACATTCGTCAGTCAGCCTCAACATTCGTCAGTCAGCCTCGACAAACGTTCAGCTGGGACGCATTTGAACGTGTATCATGTATCAGAAGTCTGGCTGGCAAGCGAAAACCCTCATGCATAATGTTCACAGATCCGCCCACATTCGCATACACATGCACGAACTTGCACGAAGGGAAACAAAATTCTGGTTGCTGTTGCTGCTGTTGTAGCAACACCGCTTTGATTCCATCCAGTCATGTAAACGTACAGCAGCGTGAGAAGGGACGACAGAGTAACAACACAGGAGCAGCAAAGCCATAGGTGCCATCACACACCTCGCCGTCGAGTCTCCACATGAGGAATAACACTTGAAGGAACAGCATGGCCGCTTCGCCCATGGCCTGTGTCCCACAACAGCGGCGATAGCGACACGCGAGAGGACAAAGGGAAAAACCCGCGCTTAAGAATCGCATGCGTGCGCGCTGAACGATACAACAACGAACAGGCAGAAACACCAACTAGTTCAGACGAGTGCTGTTGAACAACGCGGCGTCGTAGAAACATGGGATGGTCTATGTCCGGGGGAGAGCGGGGGCGGGGGGGGGGGGGGGGGGGACCCCAAATCGGGGGTGGCGGAATCTTTTAAACATTTGCCCCCCATCCCCAACAAACCGGGGAAAAAAACGCCGGGGTTTCCCCCGGGTTTTCCATTACCAAAC